ACGATGAGTCTGAAACACGATGAGTCTGAAACACGATGAGTCTGAAACACGATGAGTCTGAAACACGATGAGTCTGAAACTTCGACCAATACTTGAAGAAAACCTTTAAACCATCCAGACTGTGAGAAGTGTAGCGCAACACTGACATGAAATGATGCGTTCAGGGTCCTCGTCAACTGTCCATGAATCCCAGTATCAGGTTGATTTTTGTCTGAACATCAGGTTCAGATTTCGTCTCTTCCTCCTTTTCTCAGCTTCAGTTCATGTTGTGGTTTAACGTCGGCCTGACGACCTCACGTCAAATTCCTGGTGAATACGTCGTGATTGTTTTGTTGAGTTGTCGAAGATCCTCTCGACTCCGAATGAGAAACTATCGAGAGGCTTTAACTGGGGACCTGGATCAGAAGCTTTTATTATATTTTAAAGTTAGTTCATGTTTATTAATGTAATATTTTGCACATGCTTCTCTCTGGTGAGGATTTTTAAAAACCACTAAAAAGATGGAGATGGTACAGTTTTTTTTTTTACCGGCACATGACATGTTTTTATTTGAAAGTTCATCGTTCTTTTTCATTTCAATGATTCTTGCTCTCGGACAGAATCTGTCGTTTTCTGCTCTGATGACACGACGCACAGTCTGCGTTCTTATGGCCGGCCGTTTGTAACGTCCTGTCCCTGCACTTAATAACTTCTCTGTGACTCTGAAGGCTCCGGGTTCTTGTCACATTTCTGCATGAGCGTTCATTCATTCGAATCATGAGTCGTTAAAACGTTCTTATATCTCAAGGCTGAGGAGAAATTTTAATTATAGCTGCAGTAACATGTTAGCGCTGCAGTTTAAAACAGCGCCCTCTGCAGCCACACTCGTCAATATTTATCACATCACAGTTGAAGCGTAGACTGAAAGTAAACATGAACCCAAAAGTGAAGCCAAGTTATTTAGATCGCCCCCTGGTGGCTGGCTGCAGTACGGGCTTCTCTCAGCCAAGCTGCCCTCCAGAGTTCAAGTGTTTCCGTCTTGATTGACAGCTGAGACTGACTCGGGATTGGTCGAGTGCATGGCAGGAATATCATTTTCTCTCAATTCATATTTATCACTTCACAGTTTTGATCACAGACTAAATAAAGATGGACGACATGAAGGCTCCTGAAAGTGAAGCCAAAGCATCTGGATCGCCCCCTGGTGGTGATATCTTTCACTGCTTGATCACTACTGCACAGACTCCAAATTATTTCATCACCACAAGATGGCAGCGTTCGTATCTGTGATGTTGTGGCTTCATTTCCGTTCGGACAAGTGGAGACGTGTGGTCATCTCTCTCTTTCTTTCTCTCTCTCTCTCTCTC